ATGTGACTTTATTTTAAATGTGTTATGTGACTTTATGTGTGTTATTTTAAATTTTCTTCAAATTTTGAGTAATGTCTTTTATCTTTTGTGTTGTCTTTAATTTTTTATTGATAAAATTTCTCCCGTCTTGAAAAATTGTTTAGAAACTATAATGCTTTGAGTTTCAAAAAAAATTATTGCTTATGAAAATAATTAATAAATTATTTTAAGTTAATAAATTTATAATAATAATGTTTAAAAAAATTATTTTTATTTTATTTTATTATTATTTTTAAGCTTTTGATCAATTTCATAAGTATAATTAATATTAGGGTAATGTATAGATTTTTAAATTAAATCAAATTTATGTTAAAATTATTCATGGATTATAAATAATATACTAGAATCCTTTCAAATCCTGTTGATAAATGCAATAAAATCTCACTAACTCTGCGCAGACTTAAAATAATTCATTGATTTTACAGAATCTATAGATTTTAAACAATCTATCAGAATCTTAGAAAATCTGGATTGAATACACCCCCCTTAGATCTGTTTTGACTCCATTTAAATGACATGGCAAAAAAGCCACATGTCCAATTATGACTGGAACAAGTGTGGAGTGTTTTAAAACACTCTCTTCACTAGGTGCACCGAAGGAAACGCCAAGTAGGGGTATGAAATTTGGACCAGACCGACTGGTCCGATCTACCGATTGGACCGTGGCCTAAACATGGATCTAGTCCGGTTTGATGATAACCCGTTAATGAGGAAAACAACCTTAACCTATCCAACACGGCAAATCGAGTGACCAGGGTTTATTAACCTGGCCGATTGGCATTTAGAATTAAAGCCACGTACTGTTTCTTACGGGGTATAAACAAAAATGCAGAGTTTTACCGCCTCTCAGTTTTAAAAAAATTTAAAATTGTGTGCAAAGCTCAAAATGATCACGCCTGTAATGTAATATTTTAAAACTATATTTCAAAATAAACTTGTTGATATAAAATTTATATCATACTCTGTAATTGTTAAAAGTTTAAAAAAAAATGATTTTGAAGTGAAACTGGAAAGATTAAAAGGAATGGAACCACTATTTGATTCACCATTCTCTTTTTTCATGCTTGGTGACGTGCATTTCTGAGAATATTCGATCACCTTTATAAAGATGCTTGATCATATACAATACGGACTTACGGAGTGCATTTACGCTCCAAAATGTAAACAAAATGACATGCAAAATATCTTTTTTAAAATTATTTTATTTACAAATTAATAGAGAATAAAAAGTAAAAATTACACCGTTAAAAAATAAATCAAAAGTTCTACAAAATAAGATGCAACAAGAATATTTTATTTTATCAAATAATCAATCAGAACGTGTAAACAAACAAAAGTTGTCGAGAAGCCGAAATAGTAACTTTTGATTACATTTTGGGACGGATGAAGTATATGATGATGTTGACTTTAGTTTTTCTTCAAAAAAAAAAGAAAAAATTTATTGACTTTTGTTCGTGCATTTTTGATAAGTGGAAAAGAGCTATAATAAGATGATAAGTAATCTTCCACCTCGGTGAGTGGTGATCAGATCCACTATAGTATAGTAGAAGGTCAGATATAGATTATTTAATCATGTTGCACTATATATATATATATATATATAATGTGCGTGTGTGTGTGATTTACAACTTGTTGTGCACTACGTACCCAACATCATGTTGTTTATTCTATTCTATTCAGTAGTAGCCCTAGCCCTCGTACTTTTTGTTTTTGAATTGATTGGTAGAACAAGTCACTTTATAAAAACAAACAATATAATGAACAATCTACTTTCAACTCAATAATCCCAAACCGATCATTATCCAACTTGACGTGTTCATATCTCAATGAAATGACTAATTTTACACACCAACACTCATTATTTAAAAATTAAAAAAAAAATAACGCATTTACAAACTCGTACTCAAACTAGCTCACTTTTATTCTACGTGATCTAGAGCAAGTCAACACCTCAAAAAAATTTAACGCTTTTACAAACTCGCACTCAAACCCACTTTCAATTTTTTTAACACGTTATAGTTCCTTCCTACAATCAATTTTAGAATTCTAACCGAAAAAGGCATGCCTCAATTGGGAGGGTCGTGATTGGTATTTGAGTTGGAGGAGGAATAAGTATTTTATTGTGCAAGTAAGGTGGTGAGTGGAGTATTTTTGTAAAAAGAGATCAATTTTGGAAGTGATTATGTGATTAATTGATTTTCAGAGTATTCTTGTAAAATAAAAAATTTGTCCGAGTAGTGTTGTGAATTTTTCCTTTTTTTTAAGGAAATGATGTTTTTTAGTAGGAATGATATGATAATTGAAGCGCTATGGTACGAGGCAATGATGTTTTTCTTGGTAGTATATATCTGCATAGGACACTTATGTAGGAAATACTCCCTCCGTCCCATAGTATTTGTCCACTTTCATTTTTACACATTATCCAATACACTTCTTTAATCCATTTTATCTTGTAATTTGTATATTAAAAAATTATAGAAATTATATATTAATAATCTATATGTTAAGACAAATCAAACAAGATCACACATGACTATACTTAGGCTTACACATTGAGATAATTTGATGAGTCAAAGTGCTTAGATTAACAGTTCCAAAAGTCAAAAGTGGACGAATATAACGGGACGGAGGTAGTATAAAATACTTCTTTTGTGTATCCACGTTGAGTATTCATATGTAATCCTATGTAAATGTATTAACTATTATGTTGTTCTCAAATGAACTTACATATAATTGTAACATACTCTAGTCCGTACATATTTTGAATACATACTACGAAGTACTGTAAAATAAAAAAAATAAATAGAATGAATCTTCTCTTATTCAGAATTGATTTTCCATTATCTCCGATGGAGCAAAAAAATTACCACTTTAGGCTTTGGAGTGCGATGAAATAAAGTAAAATAAATATCTAAACAGTCTGTTTCTTTAATTATTGAAGTAGCAGCAGTGCAGTTTTTAATGCTGAGCAGAAGTGTCTTTAGAAACAATCTCTCTGCTTTCAAATAGAGGCAAAGTCTGCGTGCACACACTCTCCCCAAATTTTACTTTTGTAGGATTCCACTGAATTGCTATTGTTATTCTTGTTGTCTATTACTCAAAAATTGAGTGTTAACATGAATGTACAAACACATTATAGATCTCTATATGAAGTTATGAACTTTCATTAAATTAAAGTGGAAATGTCACTTTAAATGGTACGGAAGTTAAAGTATATACGGAGTCCTCACTAGGTTAGATATATGTGGTACATATTTTTTAAGAGTACTTTTTTATTGATGCAATTTAGGCTTTGTCAACATGCACGACTATTGAACTTGAACCTTCCATGGTGCAAACTCCACTTATCTTCATAGTTCATTGTTTTCGCTTTTTTTTTTAAAAAAAAATTCTGAATTTTAAGCCGCACCTTTGGACTAGTATTCATGGGTATTCCACCCAGATCACGACTCAGGTCGGGTCCAACATGGCAGGTCTCAAGCCGTACGCAACTGGGCTGTCTAGGTGAGTGTGAACATTGCCCGGGTGGAGTCCGATCAAACGGCATTACAGAGGGAGTGTCAAATGATTAAGATATCTCTTCGCGCAATCACCATGTCATGGGCGGAGCCAAAAAACTCGCATTGTGGGATCCAGAAAAGAAATAAAGACAAAACTAAATAAAATGATAAATATTGTTAATATTAAAAGTCATAACATATGAAATATAATCATACTACCTCAAGTCTAAAAAATCATTCTTTTAGTCTTCATTGCTTGAAAATATTGTAGGATGTCTTTATCTTCTACACTGATCAAAACTTTTATACTCTATATATGTTAGCATACAAGCATCAGTATGACCGGTCATACATGAAAACAGGGCAGAAGAGTATAGGGAGGTGCAGTGAGCTTCCGGGAAGCCTGAAAGTTAGAACCGTCATTACTCGGACCAATATTGTAGGTACCATAAGACTGACTCTCACAACACGTCCAAGTGTAAGAGCGTAAATGGCTGAATCTGGCAGATGATTGACTGCAGGTAGCTAAATGGGGAGTACCCGCGAAAGGCGCAGAAGAAGAATCACCAATGGATCAGGTCCGAAGGGAGTAAAGATGAGCAGTATAGGAGAAGAAAGGAGGACCAGAAAACGAGAGGTGAAGAAAGGGAAAGGATTTGAATACTTAACACATCCCGGTAATGTGGTCCAACGGGCAAAATCCATAACTTGGGTCGATAAGTGTTGCCTAATGAAACATTTTTTTTATTTTTAATAATTTTCAAAAAACGTGAAGAAGTATTCAATACTACAAAATGTTAGTTCCATATTGTGTTGGCATTATTTTTTTGACAAATGAATAGATTTACCTAGAATTATTTTAGATATTTTATTTAGACTTAGAGTTCTAGCATGTGAAGAAAGAGAAAGAGGAAAGAGCTTGAAGAAAGAAGTCTAATCCTACTTGGTTTACTATTCTTGAGGAGGAAGGCATGGTTGAGACTCCTAAGCACACTCTAACAAGGTTAATATGCTCTATATATTATCTTAACCCTCCCTTAGGGTTTAGGAGGTGAAAAATTACGAAGAACCGGAATCAAGTTCGATCAAAAAGAAAAACAAGGTGCAAAATTAGACAGTGCAAAGTTTCTGGACAGCCGCACAGATTTGATCATCGCCAGAGATCCGACCGTTGGATTTTGCTGAAATTTTCAGAGAGTGTTCTCAACACATAGAGCTTCAACGTGTTAAATTTCACGTCAATCGGAGTTACGGATCTTCTCTTATCAAGGTTACAATCTACACATCGTTGCTGATTTTTTTGCAGAAAACGCAGCCCTGGTTTTCTTGTTGGTTGGAGTACCAAATCTTGTCCGATCGTGCTGAAATTTTAAGAGGAGTCTAAGGACTCGTGGAGCTTCAATCTGAACGGTGGAGATTGAATTCTAACGGTTCAATCTTGATTTATGAGCTTCGGATCAGCCTGCATATTTTAGTAGATCAAGGAGAATCTTTATTTGAAGGTGTATTGGAATCTACGTCCTTGAAGAAGATCTTTGAGAAGGTGTAACAAGCCGTGGAGATAGACGCAAACCGAGTTTGTCGTCAAGTCATTCGTAAGTAGACAAATCAATACATTAGAAGGTTCT